GCCACTTTAAGTACACCTTTCCAATACCCCCTTTTGCATTCAGATATGTCTTAATCCTTCATGGCATAGATTCAGCAAGGTACTGGAATTAATCTTTAGAGATTTTGGTCCATATTGACACAATAACATCACGCAGTTGCTGCAGATTTGTTGGCTGCACATCCATGATGCGAATCTCCCGTTCCACCACATCCCAAAGGTGCTCTATTGCAGTGGTTCCCAACCTTTTTTGCCCGAGGCCCCCTTTTTTACCCTGAAAATATTGTAAGGCCCCCTCCACATTTTATGATATTTTTTTGCTCATATAAGTTTGCAGTAATTATGTCAAAAAGACTGTTTGTTTTTTACTATATGCAGATATGTTTATGCACAAATAATAGCCTAATTTAAAATATACAAGCAAAACATCAGTAGGCCATTTGTATTAGGTACATTTTGCGGTATTGAGGATGAGTCGATTGCAAATGTCTTATTAATTTGGACGGTCTCATGCATTCGTTAGCAAGAACTTTGGCGCAGATAATGCACTGTGGCTAGGTCAGGAACTCTTTGCTTCAAGAAAAAGAAAAAATACCATAGTTCAGGTAACTATTTTGATGTTTCCAGTTTTGCTAGCACTGTGACCCAAAATGTTTGGAGCTTCCTCATCTGGGTCCAGTATGCTTGGGTCATTACTATTAGCTGCTGAAGGCGAGTCAGAGACTTTGTCTTGTTTTGTGGAGTATAAATTACAAAATTGGCCATTTTTTGGCCAGCCAGGTGATAAAATGAACTAAGGAAGCATAATAGTTCTCCTAATTTTACATTGCTAAAAAATTATTAAAAATATAACGTGACCCCCCCACAGAGCTTGCTGAGGCCCCCTTGTGGGCTGGGACCCCCTGTTGGGAACCGCTGCTCTATTGGATTAAGATCTGGTGACTGAAGGCCATTTGAGTACAGTGAACTCATTGTCATGTTCAAGAAACCAGTCTGAGATGATCCACGCTTTATGGCATGGCGCATTATCCTGCTGAAAGTTGCCATCAAAAGATGGGTAGACTGTGGTCATAAAGAGATGGACTTGGTCAGCAACAATACTCTGGTTGGCTGTGATGTTGAAACGATGCTCACTTGATACTTATGGGTACAAAGTGTGCCAAAAAAATATCCCTCACGCCATTACACCACCACAAGTAGCCTGAACAGTTGATACAAGGCAAATACAAAGCATGGATCCATGCTTTCATGTTGTTGAAAGCATCAAATTCTGACCTTACCATCCGAATGTCGCAGCAGAAATCGGAACTTATTAGACCAGGCAACGTTTTTGACAACGTTGTTGTCAAATTTTGGTGAGCCTGTGTGAATTTTAGCATCAGTAACATGTTTTTGGCTGACAGAATTGCACCCAGTGTATTTTTCAAGGTTTGCCTAAGTTTCAACAAGTTTTGCGTTCAGAGATGCTCTTCTGCATACCTCGGTTGAACCAGTCTGTCCATTCTTTTCTGACCTCTGGCGTCAACAAGGCATTTGCGTCCACAGAACTGCCGCTTACTGGATATTTTCTCTTTTTTGGACTTTTCTTTATAAAACCTAGAGATGGTTATGTGTCAAAATCCTAGTAGATCAGTAGTTTCTGAAATACTCAGACCAGCCCGTCTGGCCCCAACAATCGTGCCACGTTCAAAGTCACTTAAATCACCTTTCTTCCCATTTTGATGCTCAGTTTGAACTGCAGCAGATCTTATTGACCATCTATTCATGTCTAAATGCATTGAGTTGTTGCCATGTGATTGGCCGATTAGAATTTTGCGTTAACATGCAGTTGGACAGCTGTACCTAATAAAGTGGCCGGTGACAGTATGTTGAGTCATGTTTTGTAGTATCGCCTACGTTGCTCTTCAAAGCCAAAGACAAACCTATACTATTATAGACACAATGTAAAAGTAAACATTAACCCTGACCTTCATAGATAAAATGTAAATACACGCTCTATTCTGAGAACCAGGTCTGCGTTCTGTGAGTTCACTCTGAAATTAACTCTCTGCTTTATTTTTCCACAGATGAAGTTGCTAAATCTGTATATTAAGAGGGCCCAGACCACCAACAGCAACAGCAGCAGTTCTTCAGACGTGTCCTCTCACAGCTAGCCGGATCTGCGCTAATCAGTGCCCTTTACATGTGCATTTGGGAACATAGTTGTGCCTCCTCCTGACATCCTTTTTTTATTTGCTTCATCGCAATCTTCCTGGAATTTTTGTTTTCCAGAGAGAGAAATGTTGCTCGCTGCAATCAAGACTTTTCATCCAACACCTGAAAACCTCTCCCAGTTTGGTCTTTCATGATCTTTCCATCCGTGGAACATTGAATGTAAAGGGTTTCTGATTGAGAAAACATGGGAACCGATCTTCCGTAATTGGCATTGAATCTTTAATCGGAGCAAACAAGCTTTCTGAAGGGGTTGTTCGTTGAATACATTGATGAGTAATAACTTATTCATGTTTGCATATGGTGTTAAAGGTTTGGTTGAGTTGTTTTTAAAAGGGCACAGTTGGGTTAACTAATACATCACTTCAATCTCAGTGGTGCTAGTGGATCATTTGGCTGGCCCGAGTGATAGATGTAAAGAGAATTAATTTGTAGGTTTGGCTACAATGACAACCAAAAAACAAAAGACAAATGTAGGATCTAAACATTCTTATATTAATTTTAATTTCATGGGACCGCAATACCTTGTAATGTTAAAAAAAGATTTCCCAGTCTTTAAGAAGGCTAATGTAAAGCAATTGTATTGATTTTATCATAGGATGGATTGTGCGTTTAAAATGTGGGCCTCGCCACAAAATACAAGCACGAACTTCTGAATGTACAGCATTTCTTTCATCTAAAGCCACAACACTCATTACCAGTTCTCGAAATGGAGTTGAAAAACATGACCCGGAGCGATGAGAAGAAACGATGGATGAGAAAATGTATGATTTATACTTCGTTCTCGGAGCAAGTGGATTTTTTGAAACTACTATGCCTTACGTTTCAGTTTTCCAAACTCAGACTGTTAAGATTTTAATGTCCACTACACTGCTAAAGCATGAGTCTACGACACTAATGAAAACCCTCGGATATAGATCCAAAACTAGAGGTCATGTTACTTTAAAACAAACGAAAAACAAAAGAAAAAAGTCGAAACTCTTCTTTCTTTTTTCAGCTAATGTTAAGTGCTTAGTGTTTTGTACATACCTTTCAATCATCGCTTCTCACTCCCCACTAAATTAAGGTAAAAATGATGTTGCACTCTTTTGCACGTGAACAAATAGCCTGCATGTTTTGACGCCACAACCATCCCGCGCTGTTGTGGGGTTGGTGACCACGTCAGTGGACTGTAAATACAGTATTATTATTATTGTTATTATTATTATTATTAAAATGTTGCCCATGTGAGGAAGTAGACAAGTGCAGAACTCCAAACCGACCAAAATGTCTGTTTGTCCTCAGACTGTGAATCTGACCATGTTAAAAAAAAAAGGACAGACGTTTGTGTGCGAGCACTCTACTTTCCTTTAGTATTATATACTGGGGCATGTGGCTTTTATTGGTATGCTGAGTGTGCGTACCGTTTGTTTGTTTGACGCAGCTTTTCTTTCTAAAGGTTTTTAAGCGATTTCAGACCATCGTTTTGATTTAGATTGGCGCTCTTCATCTGTTTGTAAAAAGGACGAAGCCAGCTTTGGGGATCAACAGTTGAGAGTATTCCTGTAATGGTATTTCATTGAATTGTTCACTACGCATGTTAGACTTTACGTTTTGTCCATCGGACACAGATACACTCTCTTGTATTTATACTTTTTTTTTTGTTATTTCCTTTCCTGTCCCAATGTACAGATTTGGATTTATTTTATTTTCTTGTTTTTTTCAGAAGGCTTGTGATAGATTTACAACTTAAGTTTGGCCTAGAAATAAAACAACCCGGAAACATGAAGCCTATGTTGATCATTATTATTATGTTGATTTATTATGGAGTGTGAAGTGTGTCTGAGTTGGCTGTGATTCTGTCGTCGGAGCTGTTGGATGTGCAGGAAGCAACTCTGGTATTTATAATATTTCATGCATCAGTACATTTATAAACAAAGTCACGTGATGATGTGCACTCAGTTCTAGCCGTCCAGTGTCATAAATGGCCAGAAAAATTAATGACCAGATTATGTATCTACAAAATGTGGAGTAATATTTTACGTAAAAATATATATATATATATGTTGCTAATTTATTAGGCCCCAAATTATTTTTGGGAATATTTTTATAATTATTATAATAATAATAATTATTATTATTATTTTGTATTGTGAAGATATTTCATGACATCAAATTATATATAATAAAAGTTAGTAATACAAAGTATTATATAGTTATATATATATATATATATATATATATATATATATATATATATATATATATATATATATATATTATAATACAACAGTTCTATCTGTTTACCTAAATATAAAATTACATAATTGTAAAATGTGGAGTAATAATTTACGTTAAAAAAAAAAAAATCTGTTGCTAATTTATTAGGCCCCAAATTATTTTTGGGAATATTTTTATAATTATTGTAATAATAATAATTATTATTATTATTTTGTATTGTGAACATATTTCATGACATCAAATTATATATAATAAAAGATAGTAATACAAAGTATTATATAGTTTTATATCTATATATCTATTTATATATCTATATATATATATATATATATATATATATATATATATATATATATATATATATATATATATATATAATACAACAGTTCTATCTGTTTACCTAAATATAAAATTACATAATTTTGTGAAAAATTAAAGTGTTTTGCACTTTGTGTTCAACAATGAAGAACTGAAAATATAGCTGCGTGTGCTAGCATATGTGCTAGTGATAGCTATGCGAGCACACAAACACCACATTGCATAATCTAGTTTAAAAAAAGGTTGTGCACGTATAATAAGCTATTGATTTATCAACAACTCGGTCTGACCTTTGCTATCAGAGTCAGCCTATGCCAAGCACTGCAGCAGTTTCAGCAGCTGATCTGCCATTAAACGCTCGCTGTCTGCAGGTGGCGGACGGACACTCGCGGGTCAGCTGACCGTCGGCCGTCACGCGGGATAAAAGACCGCCGACTCGGACACTTCTGGAGAGACTTTGTGGCTCTCACGGTTCCTTCACCGGCGACCTCGCGTTTTACTGTACTCTTATTTCTGGGATAGGAAAGTAGCAGAGCTGGAGAGTATGCTGTTTTGGCACAGCCATCCTGAAAACTACCAGCAGCACGCGCAAAACACTTACATCAGGTGAGTTCAGTCGCGAGAGCTAAAAAGGACATTCGTGTTGCTTCACATTTTTTACTTTAAGTTGATAGCCTTTAATGTCAGGAAGAGCAATGAATGCCAAGAGTTTTTTTTTTTTTTTTTTTGTAAATACTGTAATCCTGGGAGGGAGAGAGAAATTAGGAAAATAGCTTACTGTGGGACCATGAGTTTTTAAGCACCAAAGAGAAAATAATATAGATTTTTATATATACAGTTGAGGTCAGAATTATTAGTCTCCCTGAATTATTATAGCCCCCTGTTTATTTTTTCCCTAATTTCGGTATAACGGAGACACATTTTTTTCAACACATTTCTAAACATAATAGGGGAGAGCGGGGCACAAAGTAACACTTTTTGGTTTTGGTCAAATATTGAACAAAATAATGAACAAAGTTATGCGTTAAACAAATCATATTATTTATCAACAATACACAAGCCTCTCCTACAATACAAATGAGCACTGGAATTATGATCGCCGGACGTATAAAATGTTACTATTTACCCCACCTGTGCGGCAAGTTGTAACACATGCATATAAAGGCAGATTTCATTTCACACAATTAATTTAAATTCAGTTTACTTTAAATAGTAGCTATATTTGCATTAGTAGCTGCATTATTAGCAATAAAATATTTTTTTCTATTAAAACAATAGTTTCTATTAAAAACATTTTTATTTAAAAAGTTCTCAACATTACACTCAAAATTAAAATTAAACTATTATTTTGTTATTTAATGGGTGTCCAACAGTGTGTGGCTTAATTGTAACACCCTTTTACAGCTAACCCCTCTTTGTTTTCCTTAAAACTGGCTAGCAGTCACTGTGTTTCTTACATCTTTCAAAAGGATTTAATCTTCTAGCCTAGAAGACGGTAATTACAACAGATTTTAGGTTCATACTTTAACAGATTTTTTTTTTATAAAAAAAATATTGACTATAATAAAAAATACTTTTATGCTGCAAAAAGGTTTTCTCCTGTGTTTCTCATCCAAATTTCGCCAAAATATTTCAATAATTGGCAGGAAGACGTCTGCTGACACTGTGGTTAAAACCTTGGAAGCATGCCATGGTTAACCCTGAGCAAATACCCTAAAACTCTGTTACATTTAACCCTGCGTTACTTTGTGCTCCGCGCTCCCCTAGTTTTAATAACTCATTTCTAATAACTGATTTATTTTATCTTTGCCATGATGACGGTAAATATTACTTGACTCAATATTTTTCAAGACACTTTTATGCAGCTTAAAGTGACATTTAAAGGCTTGACTAGGTTAATTAGGTTAACTAGGCAGCATAGGGTAATTCGGCAAGTTGTTGTATAATGCTGGTTTGTTCTGTAGACCATCGAAAAAAAAATTTCATAAAGTGGCAAATAATTTTGACTTTAAAATGGCTTTGAAAAAAATTAAAAACTGCTTTTATTCTAGCCAAAATAAATCAAATAAGACTTTCACCAGAAAAAAAATATCTAAGGAGGGGTAATAATTCTGACTTCAACTGTAATACAGGAGATTTTTTTTTGTAATCCATTACCGTTCATTGTTTTCTGTATGTTATGACGTGTCGTTTTATCTAAGCATAATAATATCTTGATTTAATAATGATGTACAGACGACACCTGCACCAAAATATCATTTATTGTAACAATAATTTATATGCCAAATAATAAAAACTAACATTTAGGACAGTAATTATTTAATAACATTAAAATAGCCTCAACATAAGGATAATGAAGCAGCTCCACAATGAAATTTACATCTTAATTTATTTTAATTTGCCAGTAGGTTTTACCCATTTGTTCCCAAGTTTTGAATAAGTTAAAGTATCCTTACATTTGTTCATATATATATATATATATATATATATATATATATATATATATATATATATATATATATATATATATATATATATATATATATATATATGTATATATATATATGTATATGTATATATATATATATGTATATATGTGTGTGTGTGTGTATGTATGTATATGTATGTATGTATGTATGTGTGTGTGTGTGTGTGTGTGTATATATATATATATATATATACACACACACACACACACACACGCAAACACAATATACACACACTACCAGTCAAAAGTCAGTTTTTTCCATGTTTTTAAAGAAAATTTATTCGTTCATTAAGATGGCTTTTATTAAATCTAAAAAATGTTAAATTGTTAAATATTTATTAAATAACTGCTTGCTTATTTAGTCTCATAGTTTTTTCTATTTTCTCTCAATTGAAATGATTACTCCAGTCATTGCTTTTATTACTATTGCCATTAATCATAATCATAATAATAATCATAATTAATGTTAGAGTGATTTCTTAAGGATCATGTGACTCTGAAGACTGGAGTAATAAAGCTGAAAATAAATTAAATTATAAATTACTTTTAAATAGCTATTTTATAGTGCAATAAGATTTCACGATTGTACAATTTGTCCTGTATTTTTGCTGAAATAAATGCAGCCTTGGCGAGCAGGAGAAGCTTATTTTAAAACATTTAGAAATCCTACTGACCCCAAACTTCGGTATTGTAGATGTATATTGTTCAAAGTGCTTGAGTAGAGTTATTTTTGGTACTTTATGTGTTAGCGTGCACACTAACAGAGTGTTGAGCTTCTGCTTTGTATTTTCTCTTAGAGATGCTCTTGCTCCGTTTCTCAAGCATGAAGAAGAACATCAGGCTGCAGAGATCGGAGCATCTCCTTTTCATTATGTGCTTTGTGCAGCCACTTCTCCAGCTGTGAAACTCCATGATGAAACACTCACATATCTGAATCAAGGTATGCTCAAATAACTAGCCTTGTGTTAACATTTTGATATTTGACGTTGCATTCATAGCACTTGGCCTTTTCTACTTCTGTAAAGGTTTTAATGGTACTACTGTTAAAACTAACCATTCTAATGACAAAGTCAACACTTTGCTGTGGTTTTAATTTTCAATTGAGGGTTACAGATTATTTTACTTGTGTGCAGTAATAACTTTTGTTTGGTTTTGTTGTCATTTTAATAATTGAAATACTTTTTGCACTGGAAGTAAAAGCTAACTATCAGAAACTACAGTAGTCAATATTTGAAGTGGATCAAAAAGGTTTTCTAGATTGTCTTAAGAAAAGACAGTGTTGTTCAATAATTTTAACAGGACAAAATTGATGACAGGTTTTGAACCACTTTATATTTTGACTGTATAGTGTTTATATGATTTATTATACAAAGTGCCAGTCTTTTGTTCCTGGAATCACTGCCCCTTTTCTTGTTATAATGCACTGTAGGTCAGTCCTATGAAATCCGTATGCTTAACGGGAAGCTGGTGGAGTATACAGATGTAAGCAGCAAATATGTAAAGGTAGGTTAAGGGAATGATGAAATAGTATTTGGATGCAGCCTTTATGATGCAAGCTGAGATTGCATCACTCAGCGATGCAAGATCAGACACACTGCACTCAATGGAGTGAGTGACGTCACTGTGACGGGTAGGGTTAGGGGTGTGCTTAGGTAAGCGCATTAAAAAGCGCTCAGATTGCACTGCACCAGGTCTGCATTCAGACCCCTCTCGAATGATGCCAGTATATGATCTTGTTTCAGCGCATGACTTGTTTGTATATTTCTATATTTTTGTCTTTATGGATCATTTTTTATTAGTTCAACTTAGAAATAAACAGTTTTAGAATATTATGAAATGTAAACTAAGTCAACATTATGATATTTTATATCCAGCATATGTTTTACACAGCGGATGCCCTTTCAGCTGCAACCCAGTACTGGGAAACATCCATACACACTCATCCACATACATACACTACAGCCAGTTAGTTCATTTTATTTACCTGTACTGCATATCTTTGCACTGGGGGTATCTGGAGCACCTGGAGCAAACCCACACAAACATGGAGAGAACTTGCAAACTCCACACAGAAATGCCAACTGACCCAGCCAGGATTCGAACCTGCAACCTTCTTGCTGTGAGGCGACCTGTACCTGGCCTGTACTTTCTAATTCATGTTAAGTTTGAATTTTTAATTAAAAGCTTCTTTTTGACAAATAGGTAAAACCTAGTGATTTGAAGAGTTGTAGAAGTAAAGCATGTTTATGTTACAATTAATTAGTATCTGGTGGCTGCATTTTGAGCCTTAAAAATATGAATATTTATAGTCTTTTAGCATGTCATCTTATAAATATGCATGATAAGAGCTACCCAAAATGCATGTGCCTTTTAATAATGAGGAAAATGCTAAATATGGGGCATTCTACCAATTCTCCAATAGTATCTTGATGCAGCCTTGATAATGCGAGCTGAGACTGCATATCTCAGTGATGCAATGTCATTTTTTTTTTTTATGAATTGTTTTTGCTGAACAGTCAATTGCATAAAAAGTCTTATAATATTACACATTTTAGCATAACATGTAAAGAAAGTAACAAAAAGAAAAAAGAAGGAGAGAAAGATGAAAAACAAAACAAATAAAGAACACAAGCGGGTATACATAACATTTACCATAGAGAAGAGGAGTTTAGCTTTTGAAGTATATTAACAGTTCTGGAAGCTTTACGACTTGAAAGTCCTTTAAGAGTTTCAAAATACATTTTTAAATCAGCCTTGAAATGGAAGATGTTAGGCTTCCTCTCCGAACATTTACACTTGTGTATATGAAACTTGCCTAATAATAACAAAAGATTTAACATAAACAGAAGATTCTTATCTAAATCTTTTTTAATCTATGTAAAATATGACGTCTCGTTTCTCAATAATAATTTTATGACCACTCAGTATATTTGATGCAATGTAAGTTACTATGCACTGAAAGGAGCTAGTGACATCACTGTAAGGTGTGGGGTTGGGTGAACTAATTAAAAAGCATCGGATGCAGCTCAGACTGCACTGCACCAGGTCTGCATCCAGACCCCTCTATAAACAATGTGACAGGACCTGACTTAAGCTTGTTGTCCTCCAAAAAAATCATACAAAAAAACAAGCATAAAGTCATACAATTCAATGATAGAATGCATCCTTGATCACTGTCAGCTTCTTCTTTGTCAAATGATGTCACTTTCGAGTCAGCCTTTGCACTCATTTTTTATGTTCGACTTAATGCAAATGTGACTGGACTGACAGAAACATGGAGACAACTGTAAATGTATTTGTATTATATATATATATATATATATATATATATATATATATATATATATATATATATATATATATATATATATATATATATATATAGATCAATTGATGCGAATGATAACAACTTAAACTTGCTATTTCTGAAGTTTTTTTCTAAATAACAGCGTTTTAGCATAAAAAACTATTAAATCTGTAGGTTCAATTGGGTTGAGGACAAGAACAATGGCAGGGTTTGTACATTTGTAAAGTGTTTTTAATAAAGAAAATAAATCTGAGAACCAAATGAACGACATATTCCTTTACAGAACAACTCAGAAATCAACCATCAGTCTATTTTAGACATTTATGGGATAAAATACTTTTTTCTTTACTGTATTTATGTTTTTATTTCAGGGACAGATCATGTACGTTTCTTGTAGAATGTCCCATATATATTACTTTTTTTGTTTTGTTAATCAGCGGGACTCTTTTGTGACATGTTGCTGTCTTATCTTGTTTCCAGAGCATTGTGCGTGTTGTTTTTCATGACCGGCGGCTGCAGTACACAGAGCATCAGCAGCTGGAGGGATGGAGGTGGAACCGGCCAGGAGACAGGATTCTGGATATAGGTGGGATCTGACTTCATAATAAAGCAGATTTCTAAAGGGCTGTATCAAACACATTGTCGTATATTTTACAACGTCCAGATATCCCACTGTCAGTGGGCATAATAGAGCCTCACGCTCACCCACTGCAGCTCAACACCATCGAATTCCTCTGGGATCCTGACAAAAATGCCTCTGTCTTCATTCAGGTAGAGCTTTTCTTTTATTTCTGAAGTGAGAAACATTAGCGGTAACTTCTCTGTTTCTGTAAATACAGGTTAATTGCATTAGCACAGAGTTCACTCCTAGAAAACACGGTGGAGAGAAAGGTGTCCCTTTTCGGATTCAGATTGACACATTCACAGCCAGTGCACATGGAGAATACACTGAACACATGTGCTCCGCCAGCTGCCAGGTCAAAGTCTTTAAGGTAAAGCATCTTAAAGACTCATTCAGTAGATACTTGTGTCCAAAGCGACTTTCTAATGAGGAGGCATTAGGCAATTAAACATAAAGAGGCAATACACACAAGACGTGCAGTTTGTGTGGGATTAGGTAGATCATTCCACCTGCTGGAAACAGTGAATGAAAAGTGATTTACAGCCTCTCTATGATTGCATCACGAGACAGTGCTCACTCCATTGTGTAAACAATCAAAACATTCTATAAAAGAAATCGAATAGAGGTTGTGCGATACCGAAAAACTATTTCAAGGAGTTTTTCACTTACTCCAAGCAAACAATATTTAGGACCGTCATAGATAAATAAATGTGATGCTAATGATGCCTATAGTTCGGTCTAAAAGCTTAAAGTTCACCCAAAAATGAAAAGTCTGGAATTAATTAATCATCCTCAAACCTTTTTGAGACATTTGTTCATCTTTTGAATACAAATTAAGATAATTCAAAGGAAATCCGAGAGCTCCCTCATCCTCCATAGACAGCAAGGGCAACGAAATGTCTAGTCCAGAAAGATACCAAAAAACTTTGTCCTAACATTTTATGTTACTTTAGTGGTTCAACAATAATTGTATGAAGCTACGATGATACTTTTGTCCAGACAAAAATAATGAATCCAGTCTTCCTCTGTTAAAGCAAAGTACAATATTATCATATTAATTAAAAACACCTCTGCATAGACATTTCTCTAAATATCTGCAGTTGGAATAATAAATCAATTCCATGCGTGATCAAGAATTAAGGTCTGGAGAGGTTTTTCTGCAATGTCAAAAACGTAACAATTTATTGGATACAAATGAATAATTCACAGAATTCTGTTATTCTCAATGTAATGCAAAAGTTACATTCAGGAGGTGCGCAACAGTTTTCATTTCCTGACTTCAACTTATATAGGCAGCTGATATTAACATGTGTAGTTTAGTGAAATTCGTCATTTGTCAATCATTGTCCAGTCCTCCATTGGCCGCACCCCAGACATGAGTCCTCTTTTTCTACGAATTTTCGTCACAACATTAAAAGCATAAGACTTTCTGTGTTCAGTTTTAACACCTTTTTTCAGACAGGAAGTGTCTGCAGATCTGAATTTAATTTTGGACCAGCGTTTACCTACTTCTACAAAAAATGCTAATTAGTATCCACAGCATCTCACACACAACAGAAGAAGCTAATATAGTTCAGTTAATATATGACCCTTAAATCACCAATGCAAATAATGGTTTGATGAAAAGAAAAAGAGAAAAAAATATTTTAAAACACATTTATTTTTCCCAACGCTGCTTTTATGCTTAAATGAAAAAATATAGTAATACAATTTTGGAATAACATGATTATAAGTAAATTATGACCAAATTCAAAGGTTTGGTTGAACTGTCACTTTATTGATTTAATTTTTCTCAAGCCTAAAGGTGCAGATCGCAAGCTCAAGACTGACAGAGAGAAGATCGAGAAGAAGAGTCTTCAGGATAAAGAAAAATACCAACTGTCCTATAAAACGACTGTGTTGACTGAGGTAGGAAATCTGATTTGGAAGCATTTTCAGTATTTTTCATAATTATACCTCATAACAGTATTGCTTTTTTTTTTTTACTTTTGTTTCTAAACAAAGAACAATGTGGTTATCATATGGGTTACAAAATCAAATCATAATACATTTGAAGTACATTATTACAAATTGTTTTCAATGACATACACATTTTTGCCAATACTTGTTCCACTTTTTTGAAAAAGCCTTAGGTTAAAAGTCAGTCCCTCCATAAAGTGTATTTCCTTTACGATTCCTATCTATTGAGCTCTTGTTGAAGGATTGTTGGAGTTGTGTGTTTTTTGGATGTGTGACGCACATATCTGTCCAGTCTTCTTCTGTTTTTTGTTGGTTTGACTCCCATTTTTGTTTTGTGTAATTTAATGAATTAATCTTACTGTTTTGTATGCATTCATACACTCACCGGCCATTTTATTAGGTACACCAGGTTGGACCCCCTTTTGCCTTCAGAACTGCCTTAATCCTTCGTGGCATAGATTCAACAAGGTACTGGAAATATTCCTCAGAGATTTTGCTCCATATTGACATGATAGCATCATGCAGTTGCTGCAGATTTGTTGGCTGCACATCCATGATGCAAATCTCCCGTTCTACCACATCCCAAAGGTGCTCTATTGGATTAAGTTCTGGTGGTTGTGGAGGCCATTTGAGTACAGTGAACTGATTGTCATGTTCAAGAAAGCAGTCTGAGATTATTCACGCTTTATGGTGTGTTATCCTGCTGGAAGTAGCCATCAGAAGATGAGTACACTGTGGTCATAAAAGAATGGACATATTCAGCAACAATTGTTGACATGATGGTTGACTCAATTGATACTAATGGGCCCAAAGTGTGCCAAGAAAATATCCCCCACACCATTACACCATTACCACCAGTCTGAACCGTTGATATAAGGCAGGATGGATCCATGCTTTCGTGGTGATGATGTCAAATTCTGAATGTTGCAGCAGAAATGGAGACTCCTCAGACAGGCAACGTTTTTCCAATCTTTTATTATCCAGTTTTGGTGAGTCTGTGCAAATTGTATCCTCAGTTTCCTGTTCTCAGCTGACAGGAGTGGCACCTGGTGTGGTCTTCTGCTGCTGTAGCCCATCTGCCTCAAAGTTGAACGTGTTGTGCATTCAGAGATGCTCTTCTGCATACCTCGGCTGTAACGAGTGGTAATTTTAGTTACTTTGGCCTTTCTATAAGCTAGAACCAGTCTGACCGTTCTCCTCTGACCTCTGGCATCAAAAAGGCATTTGTACCCACAGAACTGTCGCTCACTGGATATTTTCTCTTTTTCGGACCATTCTCTGCAAACTCTGCAACATCCCTGTAGATCAGCAGTTTCTGAAATACTCAGACCAGCCTGTCTGGCACCAACAACCATGCCACATTAAAAGTCACTAAAATCACCTTTCTTCTTCAGTCTGATGCTCGGTTTTAAGTGCAGCAGATCAACTTGACCATGTCTTAATGCCTAAATCATTGAGTTGCTTAGAAATTTGCGTTATCGAGCAGTTGGACAGGTATACCTAATAAAGTGGCCGGTGAGTGTATAATTTAAAGACCAGTTTTTTGTTTTCTTCTGTTATGTATGCATCTGTAAATACTGTGATCAAGATATAATCATCATTAATTTAATACTATAAATATAATCATCAGAAGTATTGCTTCTAATGACTTAAATTGTTCTTTTAATAAAATGCTAATGACAGAAAAAGTCACATAACAAATAGCATATGTTTCATCAAATGCTCACTTCTGTACACAAGTTAGTTATTGAGATCTTTCAAGCTGGCATTCCTCTGTTGAATTTTCCATGTCTCCTTACTTTTCGTTTCCTTACTTTGACTGGACATAGTGAAATATTAAACCCTTTTCACACACACAAGCATACAGCAACTGGAAGTCACATGCTTGCTTGTTGGACCCAAGCAATCTATATTGAGAATAAGGTCAATATTCTTTGTAATAAGTACATTTCTTTTTCTTTCAGTGCTCCCCTTGGCCCGAAGCCCCATCCATCAGCAGCACGAGCAACACTCCATCACCTGCTTATCACAGCGCTCACACTTCCTACAGCTTTCCAGAGGAGTGAGTCCTTATTGAGGTTGAAATCACCTCATGAATACATAAACACAATCCCAATTCTGTTTCGTTGCATTTATAGAAACTGCTCTCCAGACCAGCATGGAGAGCCACTTCTGCCCAGCTGCTCTGATGTAAGTACGGCAGGCTAGTTAAAACATTAATGCCGTGCTCTCTTATCTTTATAGGTGTGTGTTTGAGGACATGGATGATGCTATTCTTCTTCTTTTTGCCATTAGCACCTGTTGCCTTCGTCCTCCACACAGGACACACAGCAGTGGCTCCATCGTAACAGGTTCTCCTCTTTCTGCAGGCTCTTCTCTGGCTTCTCAGGTGGGGTGAAGAATTCTTTCAGAAAAACAAACTTTAGTCGTGTTGTTAGACATCATACAGGTTTAACCATGGATCTAATTCAGACTGCGATAGGCAGATTGAAGCAGAAACTATTCTTAGTGTTAGTCGTACATGAGCATACACACAGCCCAGTATACTTTATTTGATAGAGTGAATGTGCACTGACTAAATATTATTTGTAGAAAGATACATCCATGAGTTTTGGGACATACTTTATTTGTTTTAGCTGTATGTTGGCATTCTCGTTCCAACTCAGTTTCTTTTCTGACTGTGAAAAAACTGTCAGGGTCAGTGCCATATGATATACCTACAACATTATACCTACAACATTAAAGTCTATGTATACCTACAACATTAAAGTCTGGGATTTCAGGCTATAAAATGGCATGCACTGTGTTAAAGCCAGAACACACCAAGCTGAGAGTCGGCTATTGGGCAGCGTTGGGCTGTTAATGGCGTTGGTGATCTGTCAGCCTAGTTTGTTCGGTTTATTCCACACGTCACGTTACATCTCGTCAGGCTCAAGTCAGACCGGGTTTGTCTCATTCAGCATAGAGAATTGCTATCGGTCGTTTATGAAGGAAAGTGATGATTGGCTGTTCAGCTTTGAATCAGAGCGCAAGAACCAAAAACTGAGGTGATGAAGCAAAGGGAACGACACAAGTCAAGAAGTGACGGTTCTTAAAAATTTGCAAGACAATCAGATTATCGGACAAATTTGCACAAGCCAACATGGTGAGCAAGAACTACTGTGAAACTGTATGTGTTTGTATGTGTGTAGCACTAGTTCCGCTTTCCCGTTGTGGAATGACTATACAGACACTGCCTCCTGCGCGTATGGAAAGGTACATCCTCTTATGCAAGTGCAGAATGTTCATTTTCATTTTAGTCAGTGGTCGAGTGTTTTTTTTGGTCCAGACGAGGCCAGATTTTCATCCTTTGTCATCAACTTGGTGTTTCCTGGCCTTTAAAAGGAAACCCCCATTTCAGCAGTTATTTCACACATCTAGTTTAGAAAAAGTCAGGAAAGTGTGCGTGTCCAGCTCTGTTTAGGGGGAAGTGTCGGAGGAGGAAAAGAGGGAAGGTGCATAAAAATTTGCATAAAACTGGGTTTTTCGGTTTGGGCACACGCATATTTTCACAGAGGCAAAACAACACACAGATGCAGGGGAGAAAGACATTAACTGTTTACATGGACATCAGTAATCAAATTATTTGACAAACTATTAAATAGTGTTTTTTTTTTTTTTTCTAATTTTATTTATGCCCCTCGTGACAAACGAGATATTTTATTCAAGGAAATGCTTTTAGCGTGTATTTTTAATGCAATGTTTGATACCGAATGGCGAATGAGAGTAAATAAACCTCAGCATTTCTCAGTAACTTAGATGCACTCTGTAGGTAGCATCAGAAAGCCATATGTGTTATTCCTGTCACAAAATGCGGCAAAAATCCTACTCAAAGGTAATCACTTGATTTCAGTGTTTACATGTTTACACTCGGAGAGCAGCATTTACAGCAGATCTTTCAGTCTATAGTATTGTAGTGATATTAACGTGCTGTAAACTTAGTAACTTAGAAATCATTTTGACTAATGTCCGTCTTTAAACACTTAAAGAGTACTGCTGACGATACAAATTAACTTTGCCAAACAATAAACAAACAAAGACCACTGATCGCTTACTTACCAAATCTGTAGAGACAGGACAATCAACACCAACTGGAGCCACCTCTTTTTTAAAAGGAGATGAGTGGTAATTCCGGATTTCACCATTTCCAGATGAGAAAAGCTCTCTGGTAAAAAAATGTTTCTTAGATACATATTTTTTGTGTGTTTTGCGTGCACTGTAATCCACACGTGAGTCCGGTGGGTTCTCATAGCGGGAAAATAAAAAAAATCTCCTTGCAGCAAATTATAAAAGCAACACTGATGACCCGTATCTCCAAACAATTCTTCTTCTTCCACTTGTTTTGGCAACACAACGTGGCGTCTCTCTGCTGTCCGAAGTCTGTACAGGTACAAACAGTCTTGGAAGCTATCATGCATATTAATGAAGTTGCACCGCATACACAATAGAGCGCGCTGATTGGTTTGAACCAAGTCTTTCTCATGAATGAATGGAGCACACTCAGAGACGTCATGAAGTACTCCCAGGTACAGACATCCAATCTACACACTGAAATACACGCTAAGATCTCATGGCCGTGACGCAGCTTCAAAAATTTGTTTTAAACCGGAAGAACGAATTTGCTATTAGTGTTTCTAGCAGTGTGGGACACATATACGACTGTCAACAGCTAAAAAAAATGTGTTTTGTGACCCTTTAAGGTAGGATTTGTGATTTTCAAAAATTCATAATGTTCGGCACTACCATAACTTTTTTTTTTTTTTAAAAAACAAAAACATTTATTGAACATCTAAAAAAACATCTATTGCCTCTAAGGTGCCATTTTCTTTAACCATTTTTATTTCACAATTTAGCATTAACATGTTACTAATGTGGCATTTGGATATTCAGATACAGTAAGTAATCTGCAGCCAGTACTTCATTCGTGTACTTGCACTCATGCACAGATAACAAACAAGTGACTAGATGTGATTCACTGCCCTGAGGTACTTGCAACAAATACATTTTTTGTTCTTTGAGGTAAAAATAAATTAGAAATACTTGTGCAGATAGTTATTCAGACACCCAGACACTCCTCACAGTGCTAAGAGCAGCATGTAGACAAAACTGAATACTTACCTCTCAAATAACAAGATAAATGCATGTAGGAAATTACAGAACCCAAACAAGGAGACTCATTTTAAGCAGAATTCTTTATTGAGAGCGTGTTGGTTGTTCTTTAGTCAAACAGCATCTTCAATGAAGTTTGACTTGAGCAGTGTTGTCCTGTCTATTAAATATGTTTTAGGGGGGCAGTGTTAAGGTAAGGGGTGGAGATCATTCTAAAAAGGTAGATAGTTCCAGACGTTGAAGTTTTCACCTGCCCAGATCTAGTCAACAAAAGAGTTTATTAGGCCTGAATAGATCCACAAAGGCACATATGTTGAGACCCTGCCCGATAGTCAGGAAGTGCATAAAGAAAATAGGTTAAGCGTCTCCACAGTTTTAAATGAATTGAGATTTTTTTATTGAAGGAGTTTTCATCTCGTCTATACCATGCTACCAGAACACTTTTTCCCCAAAATAACTAAGGCATTTCAACAAAAAACATTATTTTGCAGAAAACACACTGATCAAAATTAAGGAACACTTTCAGATACCTCCCAGCTATTGGTGTTAATCTGGCACCTAGTGCTACTTTTCTTGATTATCTGTCAACCCCCTAATTAACTGGTAACCTAACTTCCAGTTTCACTGACTCTGCAAGATGGTGGGTCTTTCTAAAGTTACTGAAAGCCTCCGGCAGCAGGTTGTCCAGATGAAGGCCAAAGGGATGACCCTATCAGCCTTGGTCGTTCCAAATCTGTGATTTAAAGAATATTGAATCTTTACTACATCACAAACTCATTTAAGTCCCCTAAGAAGGCTGGTCATCCACGAGGACAAAATACAAATGAGGACAGGATACTGTGAGGATCTTAACGGGGAATCGTTTCCACACTGCAGCTGGAATTGTTTACCAGTTTAGCACTGAACAGGGTAAAATCTATCTTGTCATACAGTGTCTCGACGTTTAAGAGCATTTAACCTGGAAGCCCACTCTGCATTGACCAAACCTCTCATTAGCAGAAAGAATTGAAAGGCTAGACTAAGATTTGCTGAGGTGCATGTTGTGTGGACAGAGGAGAACTGGTCCAAAGTTCACTTCAGTGATAAAAGCAAGTTTAATTTATTTGAGTCCGATGGGAAACATTATGTTCGGCGACAAACTGGAGAAAGACTGAACCCAAAGTGTGTAAAGAAGTCAGTGAAAAGTGGAGGAAGTGTCATGGTTTGGGGCATGTTTTCTGCAGCAGGAGTTAGGCCTCTTACACAGCTACATGATAGAGTGAATGCAAATGTTTATCAATACCTTGTTCAACAACATATGATTCCTTCCCTGCATTCATCACCCAATCAGCCTGCAGTGTTCATGCAGGACAACGCTCCATGTCACACAGTAAAACGGGTAAAGCAGTTCCTTTAAACTGAAAACATTGAAATAATAACATGACCTGCCCAGAGTCCTGAACTCAACCAAATAGAGAACCTCTGGAATATCCTTGGGGACAAAGTTATGGCCAAGAAACCCACTTCAGTCACCGAACTGTGGAGGAGACTGGAAGAAGAGTGGACCAAAATCACAACAGAGCAGTTTGAGAGACTAATGTTATCCTGTGGCCGCAAATGTGCTGAAGTCATTCAGAGCAGAGGCCTGTACACTTCCTACTAAGTGCTGACTGTTACAACCTTCAGAAAATTTTGTTGTCATCTTTTTCCATGCTACAGTCATTGTTGTTCTCTAATATTGATTAGTGTGTTTTTTGCAAAATAATGTTTTTTTTTTTTTTAAATGTCTTGGTTATTTTGGGTGTTCTGGTAGCATGGTATAGACGAAACAAAAACACCTTCAACTGTTGAGCAGTGAAGATGACATTATTTCAGAATGGTTCAATTATTTATAAATTGTTCTCTAATTTTGATCGCCTGTGTATATTATTGTTAATTTAAAACTAGATTATATACAGTTTTATTTCCACACACACACGAAAAAATGTGTTATGGTTTCAGGTTCAGATCTGCTAAAAATGGGTCGAGATGACTTCATTCAGATCTGTGGTCCTGCTGATGGCATTCGTCTTTTCAATGCAATCAAAGGAAGGTGAGTCGCCTCACTAACCAATCAAATCATTCAAACCTGTGGGCAAACATGTTATTAACACCCTCTGTGTCAATGTTCTCTAGGTGCATCCAGCCACGTCTCACTGTCTATGTCTCCCAGCTGCAGAACAGGATCCAGCCGCACACAAAAGCAGTGGGTGACGGCGGTAGGAAACAGTGCTCTTTTTATGATTTCCTGACATGCAGCATGAGCATTTATTCTTAATACTATAATTGTTTTTGTCTGTAGTGTACCATGCACTCTACCTAGAGGACCTAACTGTCCTTGAGCTCACTGAGAAGATAGCCAATCTATATAATGTTCCCTCACAGCGAATACATGGCGTATATAGACAAGGGCCGAAGGGGATACATGTCTTGGTTTCAGATGAGGTAAGAGCAGTGGAACATTCCAGAGATTTGCAGATCATTCAGAAACTGTTGGTTATATAACCTGCACAATGACTAGTTCTTTCAAAAGACAAAGAGTTGCATGTTTACTAAGTTGGTAAGACCTTGGCATCAGTATGGTTTCTTCAGATAATGTACAGTTGAAGTCAAAATGATTCGCCCTCCTGTAAATTTTTTATTTCTTTTACAAATATTTCCCAAATTATTTTTAACAGAGCTAGGATTTTTTCACAGTATTTCCTATCATATCTTTTTCTTCTGGAGAAAGTCTTATTTGTTTTATTTCAGCTAGAATAAAAACTTTTTTTTTTTAAATCATTTTATGGTCAAAATTATTAGCCCATTTAAGCTATATTTTGTTTCTACAGAACAAACCATCGCTATACAATGACTTGCCATATTACCCTAACCTGCCTAGTTAACTTAATTAACCTAGTTAAGCCTATAAATGTCTATTTAAGCTGATTACTAGTATCTTGTAAAATATCATGGCAAAGATAAAATAAATTAGTTATTAGAAGGACACTATCACACATTTTCATTTTCACTTACAGAAGAAATCCATTAAAGTATCATTGAGTGTAACAATATTTTGTTTAGCAAATAAATCCTTTCAGGGATATTTAAAAACAAAAATAGTATGATGATAAATTAAAATAGTCTTTTTAAAGGATCACAATTTTGTCAACAAAAGTTTTGAATCAATTTAAATGTAATCACATTTAATATGACCACATTTTCTTTTGCATATTTTACCAATTAGAGCTTAAAATAGGTATGTTTAATTTGTACCTAAATATACCGGTTTATTCCAAATGACAGTAGAGCAATATTTCACCCGTATTTTGACAATTTTACTTTCCTACCACAATGAATTTTTCCATAGCTATATAAATATGTAGAGTGCTCAGCGTAATTGAGTACACTCCAGTTTGAAAATGACTATTTTTCTCCATTTCTCAGTGAATATAGGCAATGTATGTTGGTGCATTTAAACAAAACAGATTTATTAAACAGATATATTTATTAGAATAATATTTTAGTATCCAAACATATTTAGAAATAGAAAGATAATACAATTTAATTCAAGCAAAATGTTGCAAAAAAAATTACAACCTACAAAATTTCAACAAATTATTATTTTTTATTTTTTATTTTTTTGCTTCTTTTGATTTTTTTTTCTCTTTCTTCAAATTTGTATTATAGTATTTTTTATAACATTCATTTGGATGTGCTTGTTTTTTCGACCGTTATTTTGTTAGATAAGCTCCAAATTTGGCTTCAGTACTGACTAATCTAATGTATATGCTCAAATATATTATTGTAAAGCTTCCTATTAAAAATATTAATTTAAAAGATAGATTTGTGAGGGGTGTACTTATGCTGAGCACTGTAAGTACAGTTAATGTTAATATATTTGAATTCTTTTATATTTTTCCCCCAAAGGGTAATTAGGCAAGTCATTGTATAACAAAAAAACATCTGTTCTGTAGCCAATCGGAAAGCAAAATGGGGGCTAGTAATAACATTGACCTCGGTCAAACGGTCAAAAATTTAAAACAGTTTAAAGAAAAATGCTGTGAAAATGTCTTTAATCCGTTGAATATAATTTGAGAAATATTTTGAAAAAAAATAAATATTGTACAAGGGGCTAATAATTTTGCTCTCAACTGAATATAATGTTCTGTCTCTAAAACGGCTCTCTTAACCTAAAATTTATAAGTAAAATCAGTGACTGAATATTAAAAGCGAATGGATTCAGTAATCCATTCATACAATGTTCAAATGTGTTTCGCTGCATTGGTGTCACTATATGTATTTGGATTTTTCAGATGGTGCAGAACTTTACAGAGGAGGCAAGCTTCACTATCAGCACTGTAAAAGGTAACTTCATGGAGATGCAGTTTTTATCTTAACTACACTGATTAGGCTGTCTGGTTATCTAACAGGAGTTATGGGATAAAAATTGCCTACATATTTGCTGACTTCAAACTCAAACAAAAGCAGGAATGCTATATATGGTTGTGTCAACATTCTGGTCTTCATAGTTGACTGATCAGGCAATAGTTAAAGTTTTCAGACTTCTAGGAATGTATTTGTCAAAAATAGGTTACTATATATAAATATACCTCTATGTGTAAAATATAGGGTGACACAGTGACTCAGTGGTTAGCATGGTTGCAAGGAGGTCGCTGGTTCGAGTCCCCACTGGGTCAGTTGGCATTTCTGTGTGAAGGTTGCATGTTCTCCCGTGTTCGCATGGGTTTCCTCCAGGTGCTTCGGTTTCCCCTACAGTCCGAAGATATGAACTATAGGCGAATTTGAATAAACTAAATTGACCATAGTGTATGAGTGTGAATGAGTGTGTATGGATTTTTCCCAGTACTGGGTTGCAGCTGAAAGAACATCCGCTGTGTAAAACATATGCTGGATAAGTTGGTGGTTCATTCTGCTGTGGCGACCCCGATGAATAAAGGGACTAAGCCGAAGGAAAATGAATGAATGTCAAAAATGGGTTACTATATACATCTAATATATAATACTAAATAAATACTATAAAAAGTTATCCTACTATAAATCTACACTTTGCAGTCAAATGTGTTTAATGCTGCTTTTTTTTCCCTCTGTGATGACAGATGACAGGAATGAAGGCTATCATGTTGTACTGAAGTGACTTGACGACTGAAGCATGGTCTGTAGCTTCTCTTTACGATACTGGACTGTTTTTCAGCTAAATATCACCTGGTGGAATGTGACACGAATGAATGTGGATGAGGTTTGTATGATGACTGTGCCTTACTCTCAGAGAGAATCCTCTGGACTGTTTTACTGGAAATTGATTCAAATGTTTATTGTGTTTGTTTATACATATTTTTGTTCATATGTGTTTTATAGTAATTATTTTATCATGTGAAATGAAATTCTTGAAGTCTTTTCAAAGCATCGTCTGACATTTATTTTCTATTTTAGAGTTTTCAAAATAGTAAAAAGTTAAATATATTTAATGTATTATGTTGTATGTTTCTAGAAAAAAACTCTAATTCAAAATGTAGCATTTTAAAACGTTGATAAAGTCTCCTCTAACTGGAAATAATCTGTTTCATATTGGACAGGTTCTGTTGATCAGAATGAAAATATTGAAATAAAAGTCTTTGCTCAGGATGCTTTCTTGCTTTGCTTTTGGAAGTCTGTGTTTTTGTATTTGATTAATGATTATTAATACTGTATAATGTCATATAATATATAGAGCAATATCACAAGTAGCACTGCAATATCACTGTATATTGGCACTAGAGGGAGGCGTGCGTTGGCTCAAGGCCGCAGGCCGAGTGCCCTAGTGTCTTAGTGTCCTACCAGTGACGACTTACAGCCACATCGCAATGCTACGAGTGTGAAATTGCATTTATACAACAGATCGTAATCATAATCATAATCGTGTATATAAAAAGAAAATCAAACACAGAGAGTGTCAAAACCCCTTTTGTAAGTGGAACTACTTTCTTCTGCCATTCATTCACATCTGCAGCTGACGTCAGAACAGCAGAAACAGTTCACAAACCACATTAGAGCTAGTGTTTGAATGATTCTCTTGCGTAATATCTAAAGTGATAACAAAACAGCTGATTTTGCTCACATTTTAAGATTATAAGGCTGAACAACTTGAAAGGCCATCAGTCTACAGAGATTTCCCAGTATTTTTGTTGCAATCGCGAGATCACAATTATTAACCCCGAAAAAGGCAAAGCAAACAGTACCATATTACAGTGTTAGAAGTACAGCATTACAAAATACAAGAGAGAGACCTGTTTGAGAGAGAGACCTGTTTAGTAATGATTTGATCAGCTGTGGTTTGAAATTTACGCTGAGTTTTTCCTCCTCTAAGGGCTCATTATTCTGTCTCTGTCGCCATCTTGTGGCAGAACTTCAGCCATCTTTTCTCTGCTCAGTGTGATGACAGGTTAGCGGCGGCCGATGCACTGAATCTCCAAAATTATAAATATTTAAAATAGGCAGTATCCTTATAAATAAACTGCATAGTTGCAATCTAAACAACTACATTCTCGACTAAAAAAATACATTATGTTGTCCAAAAGCTGCAATATTAGTCAAACTGTATAGTTTATTCATCTGCTGTCACTATGTGGGCGGAGTAATACACAGAGGTGAAGAGGCTGTAGGAGTGCTGTTTTTATGGCTATCAGCCAATCAGATTCAAGAAAGAGACAGAACTGTTGTACAAAAGATAATATCATTTTATCAATATTATCTATGAAATGAGCTTTATAATCTTTAAAAACGAAATGTTTATGCCTTAATTTTTATACATATACTTTTGAACGTATGGTAAATGTCAAACAAAGCAACATGTCTTAGTTGTGCTATATTTTTTATTAATCCGTTATCAGGCATGATGAGTACACCCATCACATATGAAGTATAAAAGTATATTTTATTACACGTATTATGGATGTTTTTCCGTTTTTAAACATTGTTGAATTGTATTATGGGATCGGGATCTAGCTCAGACTGTTTGATGACACCGGGACATATTTCTTCCTCTTCCTCCTTGGTAAGTACGAATAATAAAACACGTCACAAAACTTTAGTTAAGTGACTGCTTTATTACATTTTTATCGTTCTTTTAAAGGATTACTGTCTCGTCTGAACCGCCAATGGAAAGTACAACAGTGAATTACGTTGACTATTGTTAATAAGAACAGACTTTTTTCAATAAGGTCAAACTGTAGTATATGTGGTTAACTTATCCAAACGAGCATTTACCTAATGTTTTTTTTTTTCTTTTTTTTTCTTTTTTTTTTAACCTTTTTATGCGTTGGTATTATGGTAATCTTTTTGCTTGGTTGTCATTGTATCAATCTTCTCACAGGGCTGTGTTTTGTCTCAGCAGTTTGTCTGTGTTCATCTTGTGAAATTTTTTATTGACTTTTTAAAAGACTCTGATTCCTCTGTTGTCATGAAGTCAGTGCCACTGTTACACACTTCACTTCAACACAGTTCACTGAACAGCACCACTGTGTTCTTGTGCTCTATTTTAATGTGCAGTTGCTCAGAAAAAAAAGTGCTTGGCAACAAAAGCAGAGATTTACATGCAGATATTTTCCTTTCTCTTGAATTTCAGTAGAGCTGCTCAATATAGTTCAAAAGTCTCATTGCAGGATGCGCAAAGGTACAAGGTGCCACAAGGGTGCCACAATTTGGAATGTATGTTATTTAAATTAGCTGATACACAGTTTGAGTTACCTATCATAATTTTTGGCCTGAAAATTTTAATTGGATGAACATGTTTAGTATTATGCCTTGCCCAGAATATATGTTATAATTAATTAATTATATATATATATATATATATATATATATATATATATATATATATATATATATATATATATATTTTTTTTTTTTTATATACATATATGCTTATATCTTTTGTGTCCCTTGTTTTTTAATTATGCTTATATTTTATGCTGATGCACCATAAAAAATCTGGTAAATAGATTTCATGTTGCAATATATATGGCAAAAAAGTTAATATCTCAAATGTATTTTTTCCACAATATCATGTAACCTTAATATTTACTGTGAATACAGCTGACATTGTTCATTTCTTTTATTTAGCTGATTAGAAAATTATTTATTTTTACGATCAACTATCACCTATTCGAAATGCTTTAAATTTAAGTCTTAAAGTCACTCAAAACTTTATAAGGGCAGTCAACAATAAAACTACAAATATGGCAACAACCCACAACCAATGACAAGGGATCAAGCATGGGATTTGTGTGAATATCGAAAGAATATTTCCATTATTTCACCACTAGAGAGCAGAAATGCTTGTTATGTACATTTCAGATATGTACTGTGTACGGGTTAGGTCAGCTCTGCTGACTGACAAATATTATTACTTATATATTGAAGCATTTTGGCAACCTAGTTTTGCAGGTACTCACTAATAAAGAAGGTTTCTAACATGTTTTTGTTTATTTATTTATTTTAATCTTTTTTATTTATCAGACTTATTTGGTTCCTATGAGGGGAAAACAGCTAGTAAATAATACAGAATTAGGAAATGTAAAGAAACGTCTTGAAACACATAAACACTCGTAATGTAAGGTTTAGAGCCAAAAACTACATTTTACTAAGCTAAAATTGCGGTTAATTTTTGTCGGAAATATAAGATGTTAACTTGTTGTAAAATCGTTAAAAGGGTGCACATTTATTGTTTGTTTGTTCCATACAGAAAAAAATACAGCTGTCGCATCTCTGACAGTAAATAAATGATTAAAATTCGAGCCTAATTCGCAAAAAAATATTAAACATTTTTATGTAAAGTATAGGTCGCCGCTGGCAACAACCGAGCCGCACGATTTATGTATATTTAAATGCCTTAAACATTTTAAGTCAGGCAAAAATTGAGTCAGTCTGCAGAGTGAAGGACCCCACGCAGCACGCGCACACGTGTTTGTCTACAGCCATGGCGGACATGCAGATGAAGATTCTTCGCAAGAAAATTCAAAAGATAAGCGAAAAAAATAAACAACGCAAACTGCTGCAATCTCAGAAAGAAGAAGAAAACAGCGAAGGTAATGTATTTACGTTGATTATAGACAAGACTGACGTGAGTTAGTGTTGTGTGGCATATTACAAACACGCTGGTCTTAAACGCGTTGTCTTATACAAGTTTTGTCTTATATTTTACTCAGATTTCTTTAATCTTATAACACATATGGGTTTAGTTTTATAGTAATAGTAATTCTAATCGTGGCTATGTGTGATTTAATGTCTATCTTCAGGAATATATTACCGACACACCTTACTGAGGTAAAGTTGGTTTTATATTGACTCATTTAGACTTTCTCCTTAATAATATAATTTCAGAAAACTTATTTACAAATTATAAATAGTAAATTCATATAAGCAGCCAATGACTATCAGAGTACAGAATTTTTCATTGCTCACAGCCGATTAAATAGTGCTACTGTTGTTTTTAAGTCATACTTGCGTGTGATTTTACACCGAATATTCAGAGTACCATGGTAAACAATATAGGGAGCAAGTCACAGGTTGTCACTGAACGAATGTGCGAGTATTAAACCAACTGTAACGTTACCTCAATACACACCTTTACTTATTACCTCCTCAAATAGCCTGTAGTTGCATAACTTTTCCCCTTTGGTAAAGTTGTTGAAGTGTGCTGTCTGTGTTTCTCATCTGGCAGACGTGAAGGATGTTTTGGATGAATCTGAAGTGGCCAGTGATTCTGCTCCAAATGTCATCGAAGAGCAGCAGCAAAGTGTCTCGGATGAAGTGAACGAAACCTCACAGAAACCCAAGAAGAAGAAAAAAAAACGAAAATTAGATACTACTGGAGAATCAACAACATCCAGTGAGTGTTTAATGATGCTGTGCATGTTCAGAATAGTTCGTGTTGGTCACTATGGGCTTGTGATGAGTAACTATAGATGTGACTCTAGTTGGATTTTGATTGTAATATTTAAACCAGAGATGCCTATACATGCTAGCATAATTTGGCCCACCATCCCATCTAAGATGAGAGGGAGAATGATGGGGATGGTTTAGAGATTGTCATTTCAAGTTTAAAGTAACCTTTTATTTATTTGTTAATTTTTTTTGTTAAGCTACAAAAACCTAACTGAAATAAAATGTTTCAATTTAAAGCTGTCATTTAATTTAACGTTCATAATGTCACCCAACGGATAGAGGGCAATGCAGAGACTTGGGTGAGCAAACCAAGGCAAAGGCAGATTCTGCTGGACTAGTGTATTTAGCATTGAACTCCACAGTGTTATATATGTGATTGTTTGTTTTTATTGCAATGAGTTACAATTAAAAAGGTTATACTGCTTTAGTTAATGCGATTCAAAGTGATAGTTTGGTATATTTATCTTTGGTGTATTAGCCCACAGCTCTCAATGATATTTTGTTTTTGGCTCTTCATACGAATAAGCTTGGTCACGCATCATTTAAATAAATTAACATTATCAATATGTATCTTTAGGTGTAAAAAAGGCTAAAAAGCAGAGTGTAGAGACAACACAGGCATCTGCAGGTGAGGAAGAGCAGCAGGAAGAAGGAAATTTAGAGACTGTGAAGTGTCCAGAGAATGGAAATAATGAAAAAGAGGGATCGGCTGAGGAGGATAGTGATGAAGATGGACCACAACTTCCTTCTGGTCTGACAGGTAAAGTTGGCTGTACCTGACTTTTGTGATGTGAAATCCACTATATATTATAGTAAATAATATTTAAATAAATTAATATTTTAATAAATTAATATTTCAATATTTAAATAAATATTTATGGTGAGGGGTAGGCATGGGTCGGTATTAGATTCTGGCGGTTTGATAGCCTTGAATAAAAATATCATGGTATTGTACTGCTCTAAAATATATATTCTTTTTAAGTGTCTGTGAAAAATACAAACACTTTTTTACTCCTTTGAACACAATATATTTTATTATGAAAAACATTTAAAATACTTTGGAAATCAGTCAGGCTAAGTAAATTAAATGAATCATTGACCTCTGCTGTCTTAATTTGGTTAAATAACACAGATTTCTTTACCATGTAAACAGCATATTTGGATATCTTTTCTGCAGGAGATTCTGTTATCCTTTATAAAAAAAGAAAGAAAAGAAACGTAAATTTTAAAAAATCTTAAACATACATTAGGAACGGTATAGCAGAACATTTTGACGGTTTTAAAACTTTGACTTTTCCAAAATGCAGTATACCTTGAAAGCAGTTGTTGTCCCATGCCTAGTGAGGGGTGTTGTTGTTGTTGTTGGACACCTGGACAAAAATATTGTTATGTCCAATCAGTTTGGCTATTTTTAGGATCATTATTTTTTTAGCCTGGACATGAAAACATTATACATATATGTAATCTCACTTTAGATTAGTTACTTATTTATCAGGGGTCGCGAACCGCCAATTACTCTGGCATATGTTTTAATCCAGCTGCTACCCAATGTAATACACACTGTAAATTTGATGGTGTTTTACAATTGCATGTATGTGTGTAAAAGAGATGTAAAAAATGTATGCACTATTACATTCACAGAGACTGCTTATTTTTTGTATTTGTAAAAAAAACTATTTATTTGACAAGTTACTGTAGGAATATGGAGCTGGCCAACATAATTTGCTGTGCGTTTTCTCGGAAAAAACTAAATTACAATTTACTTTTAAATTGAGAAACACGTCTTTTAGTTCAGATTGGAAATATTTTTCCTGTTCTATTAGAGCATTTAACTAAATTTCACTGTAAACATGCTTATAACATTAAGATCCTTTAATCTAAAATCTAATAAGGCTCTTTTTTATTCAGCTAGCTGTTTAAGTGAGTTGTATTTCCCTTTGGGTTTTGTGGAATGCAAAATAGCAATTTTAAAAGTGTGCTTATTGATTGATTGACCGGTGATTTCTTCAGGTGCGTTTGAGGACCGGTCATTTGCATCCTTGTCAGAAGTGGTCAGTGAGAACACGCTGAAGGGAGTGAAGGAAATGGGCTTTGACACCATGACTGAAATCCAGCACAAGACCATACGCCCTTTGCTGGAGGGAAGGTGAGTGCTATCCATCAACGAACACCTCCAACATTTGTTTGTTTGTCAGATTAAAGCTTGTGTGCTGTTCTTTTCATTAGAGACGTGTTGGCAGCAGCTAAAACAGGAAGTGGCAAAACTCTAGCTTTCCTGATTCCCTCAATTGAGCTTATCTATAAACTGAAATTCATGCCTAGAAATGGTAAGTGGATTTTCTGACATTTATAGATGATCTATAATGGAGGTCCCAGTCAAGCCTGTAAGTATATGAGATGTCTGTGTGTTTCTGTCAGGCACTGGAGTGATAGTTCTGTCTCCTACACGTGAGTTGGCTATGCAGACGTACGGCGTGCTGAAGGAGTTGATGACCCATCACGTCCACACATACGGCCTCATCATGGGTGGCAGCAATCGCTCTGCTGAAGCCCAGAAACTCGCTAATGGAGTTAATATCTTGGTAGCAACACCTGGCAGACTTCTGGATCACCTGCAGGTGCGGTTTATTACAGTGATCGGCTTTTCCACACGGGACTGTACTGTGTACTTGACCTGTTTTTCCTCCTGCAGAACACTCCTGGCTTCATGTTTAAAAACCTTCAGTGTCTGATCATCGATGAGGCTGACAGGATTCTGGAGGTGGGATTTGAAGAAGAACTGAAACAGATCATCAAACTACTTCCTAGTAAGAAGCAGTGATTATACTAAAAACTTTACATCTTGTTTTTCACAGTTTTTGTAATTTAAATGATAATTAAAGCTGCAAGCAGCGATGATAGGGACCTCGCACCCGGGCTCACCGCCGCCCGGTGGCCTCAGGATGACAGAGAACAGCGAACAACCTTAATTTAAGCCGATATATATAAAGAACCTGAGAAAATCACAGATTTATGCCGAACTTCCTCCTGTCAGCAGGTGGCGCTATAACTGTGACTCAAGATTGTTATGTAGATGCCTTCAGTAAAGGAATCTTATCAACCATGTAAATTTTCAGGCAGATCGAATATTGTTTGGCTGAGTTATAAGCCAAACTTCTGGTTGCCAGCAGGTGGCGCTATGACTGTGACTCATTATTGTTTTGTAGATGTCTTCAGGAGTGGATTTTAATTAACCATGTGAAGTTTCAAGCTGTTCAGACACAGTCTGGCTGAGTTATAAGCCAAACTACCTTCTGCCAGCAGGTGGGGCTATGACAGATTCAATATTGGCATGTAGATGTCTTCAGGAGAGGAATTTAATAAACCGTTAAGTTTCAGGCTGATTGGACATTGTGTGGCTGAGTTATAAGCAAAACTTCCTTCTGTCAGTAGGTGGCGCTAGGACTGACTCAATATTGGCACGTATATGTGTTCAGGAGATAAATTTAATCAACCATGTGAAGTTTCAGGCAGATCGGACATTGTGTAGTTAAGTTATAAGGACTTCCTGTTTCATGGCGAAGCGTTGAGGTTTGTCATGCCGCCACGGACACGCCCCTCTGCGAAAACTCTAGATCTTCACATTATATCATCGCTAGAGCTTTCAGATGACACAACCCAAATTTGGTGCTGATACGAAAAAATTTGTGGGAGGAGTTTATTACTCTGTAAATCATGTCATTTTCTGTGGCCAGCAGGTGGCGCTATAACTGTATCTGGATATTGGCATGTAAACGTGTTCAGGTCAGGACTGTTATTAAACGTGTGAATTTTGAGGCAGATCGGATAATGCATGCCTGAGTTATAATGACTTCCGGTTTTGTGGCGAATCGTCAAAGTTTGCGAGGCCGCCGTGGACACGCCCATCGACAAAAACTCTAAAGCTTCGCAATTTAACATCGCCAAGGCCTTTAGATGACAAAACTTAATTTTGGTGTTGATCGGATAAAATGCCTAGGAGGAGTTCGTTAAGATACAACGCCTGGAAATGGCAAAAATGGCACTTATACGCCGTAGGAAGTTAAAAATATCCGACTTCCTGTTGGGTTTGAGATATGGCTCCAAGAGACTTTTTCGTATGTTTTGCCATGTTTGAGGTGTGTGACAGTTTTCGTGCATGTGCGTGATTCGTAGATCGGGGGCTCGTCCGTTTAATTTGTTTAGGTGGCGCTGTCGAGTCATTTTGCCACGCCCACTTCAATATTGTTATGGGGGATGTGTTCAGGAGAGGACTTTTAACAACCATGTTAAGTTTCAGGCAGATCGGACATTGTGTGGTTGAGTTATAAGGACTTCCTGTTCCTTGGCGAAGCGTTAAGGCTTGTCATGCCGCCACGGACACGCCCCTCTCCGAAAACTCTAGATCTTCACAATACATCATTGCTAGAGTTTTTAGATAACACCACTCAAATTTGGTGCTGATACGATAAAATTTGTGGGAGTTAGTTTGGTACAGTGTAAATCATGTCATTTCCTGTGGCCAGCAGGTGGCGCTATAACTGTCTCTGGATATTGGCATGTAAACGTGTTCAGGTCAGGACTCTTATCAAGCGTGTGAATTTTGAGGCAGATCGGATAATGCATGCCTGAGTTATAATGACTTCCTGTTTTGTGGCGAATCGTCAAAGTTTGTGAGGCAGCCACGGACACGCCCATCGACGAAAACTCTAAAGCTTCGCAATTTAACATCGCCAAGGCCTTTAGATGACAAAACTTAATTTTGGCGTCGATCGGATAAAATCCCTAGGAGGAGTTCGTTAAAATACAACGCCTGGAAATGGCAAAAATGCCACTTTTTCGCCGCAGGAAGTGAAAAATATCCGACTTCCTGTTGGGTTTGAGATATGGCTCCAAGAGACTTTTTCGTATGTTTTGGTGTGTTTGAGGTGTGTGCCAATTTTCGTGCGTGTGTGTGATTCGTGGATCGGGGGCACGTCCGTTTAATTTTTCTAGGTGGCGCTGTCGAGTCATTTTGCCACGCCCACTTCCGAAGCCCATAACAAACGTAAATTTTCGCCACTTCTGAGGCGTGTGCAAAGTTTCGTGAGTTTTCGGGCATGTTTAGCCCCTCAAAACCGCGATTCATTCCGCGGAAGAAGAAGAAGAAGAAGAAGAATAATTAAAGCTGCAAGCAGCGATGATAGGGACCTCGCACCCGGGCTCACCGCCGCCCGGTGGCATCAGGATGACAGAGAACAGCGAACAGTAATAATTTAAGCCGATATATTAAAAATATCTGAGAAAATCACAGATTTATGCCAAACTTCCTCCTGTCAGCAGGTGGCGCTATAACACTGACTCATGACTGGCATGTAGATGTCTTCAGGAGAGGAAACTTATCAACCATGTGAAGTTTTAGGCAGATCGGACATTGTTTGGCTGAGTTATAAGCCAAACTGCCTTTTTTCAGCAGGTGGCGCTATGACAGACTCAATGTTGTTATGTAGATGTGTTTAGGAGGGGACTTTCATCAACCTTGTGAAGTTTCAGGCAGATCGGACTTTGTGTGGTTGAGTTATACTGCAAACTACCATCTGCCAGCAGGTGGCGCTATAACTGTGACTTAAGATTGGCATGTAGATGCCTTCAGTAATGGAATTTAATCAACTATGTGAAGTTTCAGGCAGATCGGAGTTTGTGTGGTTGAGTTATAAGCCAATCTACCTTCTGCCAGCAGGTGGCGCTATGACTGACCCAATATTGTTATGTGGATGTGTTCAGAAGAGGACTTTTATCAATCATGTGAAGTTTCAGGCAGATCAGACATTGTGTGGTTGAGTTATAATAACTTCCTGTTCCATGGCGAAGCGTTGAGGTTTGTCATGCCACCACGGACACGCCCCTCTGCAAAAACTCTAGATCTTCACAATATATCATCGCTAGAGCTTTCAGATGACACCACTCTATTTTGGTGCTGATACGGGAAAGTTTGTGGAAGGAGTTTGTTACAGTGTCAAACATGTCATTTCCTGTAGCCAGCAGGTGGTGCTATAACTGTAACTGGATATCGGCACGTAAACCTGTTCAGGTCAGGACTGTTATTAAATGTGTGAATTTTGAGGCAGATCTGATAATGCATGCCTGAGTTATAACGACTTCCTGTCTTGTGGCGGATCATCAACGTTTGCGAGGCCGCCACGGACACGCCCATCGACAAAAACTCTAAAGCTTCGCAATTTAACATCACCAAGGCCTTTAGATGACAAAACACAATTTTTATTGTCAATCAGATAAAATCCCTAGGAGGAGTTCGTTAAAATATAACGCCTAGAAATGGCAAAAGAGCCACTTTTTCGCCACAGGAAGTTAAAAATATACGACTTCCTGTTGAGTTTGAGATATGGCTCCAAGAGACTTTTTTGTATGTTTTGCCATGTTTGAGGTGTGTGCCAATTTTCGTGCATGTGCGTGATTTGTAGATCGGGGGCTCGTCCGTTTAATTTTTATAGGTGGCGCTGTTGAGTCGTTTTGCCACGCCCACTTCAATACTGTTATGTGGATGTGTTCAAGAGATGACGTTTATCAACCATGTGAAGCTTCAGGCTGATTGGACATTTTGTGGTTGAGTTACAAGGACTTCCTGTTCCATGGCGAAGCGTTGAGGTTTGTCATGCCGCCACGGACACGCCCCTCTGCGAAAACTCTAGATCTTCACAATATATCATCACCAGAGCTTTCAGATAACACCACCCAATTTTGGTGCTGATACGATAAAATTTGTGGATGGAGTTTGTTACTCCGTAAATCATGTCATTTCCTGTGGCCAGCAGGTGGCGCCGTAACTGTCTCTGGATATTGGCATGTAAACGTGTTCAGGTCAGGACGCTTATCAAGCGTGTGAATTTTGAGGCAGATCGGATAATGCATGTCTGAGTTATAACGGCTTCCTGTTTCGTGGCGAATCGTCAAAGTTTGCGAGGCCGCCACGGACACGCCCATCGACGAAAACTCTAAAGCTTCGCAATTTAACATCATCAAGGCCTTTAGATGACAAAACCCAAATTTGGTGTCGATCGGATAAAATCCCTAGGAGGAGTTCGTTAAAATACGACGCCTGGAAATGGCAAAAACGCCACTTTTTCGCCGCAGGAAGTTAAAAATATCCGACTTCCTGTTGGGTTTGAGATATGGCTCCAAGAGACTTTTTCGTATGTTTTGGTGTGTTTGAGGTGTGTGCCAATTTTCGTGCGTGTGTGTGATTCATGGATCGGGGGCTCGTCCGTTTAATTTTTCTAGGTGGCGCTGTCGAGTCATTTTGCCACGCCCACTTCCGAAGCCCATAACAAACGTAAATTTTCGCCACTTCTGAGGCGTGTGCAAAGTTTCGTGAGTTTTCGGGCATGTTTAGCCCCTCTAAATCGCGATTCATTCCGCGGAAGAAGAAGAAGAAGAAGAAGAAGGATTAAAGCTGCAAGCAGCGATGATAGGGACCTCGCACCCGGGCTCACCACCGCCCAGTGACCTTACGATGACAGAGAACAGCGAACAATAATAATATAAGCCGATATATATATAAAAAACCTAAGAAAAATACAGATTTATGCCAAACTTCCTCCTGTCAGCAGATGGCGCTATACCTGTGACTCAAGATTGGCATGTAGATGTCTTCAGGAGAGGAATTTAATCAACCATGTGAAGTTTCAGGCACATGGGACATTTTGTGGTTGAGTTATAAGCCAAACTACCTTTTGCCAGCAGGTGGCGTTATGACTGACTCAATATTGTTATGGGGATGTGTTCAAGAGAGGACTTTTATCAAACATGTGAA